ATGAACTCCTTGTTTTGCTTTGCTTGTGTGCGTGGCTTTTGCTTTACCTATTAAAATGTCTTTATCTCAACCCACGAGTTTTTTCACTTTTACTTTTCCGATTATCTCCCCCATCCCACTGTGAGGGAAGTGAGCGAGCGGCTGTTTGGGGCTTACTTGCTGGCTGCGGTTAAAACACGACAGATGCATGAAAGTGTTTTTTGTTGCAAAAATTAATCCTTTTGATACTTTATATGTAAATAAACTTACATTCAGATGGACAATCCCTACCAGACTGCAGTTTTAGAGTTAGAAAAAGTAAAATTCAGGTGTCTTCAAAACCAAACCAACCAACCCCTAAAGTCTCCTAGCAGTACTAGAAGTTCCACAGACAAGACATATCTCACCTTTCACTGTCAGAATTGTTTTCAGATTTTGCTCCAGATATTTGTATTTCATTTAGTTCGAGTTGTTTTTGCAGCTGGTGACGTTCCTAAAGAAGAAATGTTATCCTTCAGTTCTCCATGTGTCAAAATGTAAAGGCTTCACAAAGCATTTCATTGCACTTCAAAAGATCATTTGTGAAATTAAAATAGAAACTGATTAAACAAAATTCATGCATGCCAAGGAGCACAGAATGCACAATAATAAAATCAAATTCCTGGCTACGCATGGAAACAAGATCACAGTTTTCAATTTCCTATTCGAAGATGTACAGTTGTACTTGAAACTGAATTTTTTGAATAAAAAGATGAGTCAACACAATCTTTAACTATATAAATGTCAAATTTTCCATGTTATCCCTCCAAAAAGATCTTTCAATCCAAGGCTGAGACAAAAGGTATTGCTCTATTTTCTTCCCCAAAATATTCCTATTTATTTTTCAGATGTCCACCAGCACAGTGCTCATGAAGATCTATGAGGACTTGGGGACTGAATCAACACAAATTAACAGAGGAGTCTGCTATCCACTTTAATGGGAATTTAAGAAGCATTCAGTTTTACTCTGCAAGTATCAGCCAGATAAGAGCAAATTCAATAACCAATATGAAGAAACTCATCTGTCCTTATATCACAATCCTTTATTCAGTGGATAATACTTACAAGTTGTAGGTTTAAGCCCAGATGAAGTTAATAGAGCTACTAAAGGGATCTATTAAGCTGAATGATTTCTCATTGTAATCACTAATTCTACTAATACAGTTGCAAGCATTAGACAAAAGGGGCTCAATACAAATGCACATTAGACTAACCAGTCAAGCCAACAAAAAAATTGGCTTATAAAAATCTGTTTCTCAGTAACAAATATTTAATGTAAGTTGGTGAAATTAACTAAGTTAAAGTTGGTGAAAAAACACTTCACTTGTAAGAACAGAAGATTGCATTCCCTCCACTTACTAGAATGCTCTCTGCTTTTGTATTTTAGATAGCAAGGCACAGATTTTTAAAGATAATGAGATGCCTGCTATTGAATGAAATAAGAAATGGCAAAGTACATCCAAGAGCATCAGAGTCTTTTGGAAGGGCTGCTCTTACACCATTTAGAGTGACACTATTCAGTCTAAGCACTACACAGTAACATTCACTCTCAGTCAGGTGAATGATACCAGAAAACAAAGAGGAAATTTCACCATAACTGTTTGAGACAGAAGATATAAAGCTTTTTCAGATATCTGAAGAGGTTCAACAAATGAGATTCAGATGCACTGTACTATGCAAGGAGAGGTACTGTGATACTCTTAGGCTTAACAATACATTAAAATAATAATCATCTGACTACTAGTCTGAGTTTTGCCCTGGAGTGAAGTCCATAAAAGAGAAGAAGGAAAAGCAGTAAATAAAAAGAAGCAATGCAAAACCTGCTACAATTAGTTTTACAGTAGTGCTGCCAGTGTCACAAGAGGTAAATGTCTCACAGCATTTCTGCTTTCAGAGATTTAAAAGTAAATTGTCAAAAATCTGCTCTCAATTACAGTTTGGTAGGGAATATTTAGCCAGGGAGAGGAATAATTACAAGTTTTTTAATGCTAGCAGGAAAGGAAGAACCTAAGTTTTGGATTAAAAGACAGTAAAAATGATTTTTTCTTCTCTCCTCAAAATATTCTGAGCCATAATCTAAATAAGATAGATATCTGCATGGAAGATTAAATGGCTGCTACATACCCACAAAAACCCCTCAAAAAATTTTAGTCTGAAGCTTTCAGTTTAGCATTTCATCCACATGTGGAGAAATTTGGAGATACAATTCCAATCAGGACTATAAATAGGTAAATAGTAAGGTCTATTATTCACTAACACACATTTTAATGGACCAACAGCATTTCTAAGAGACTTTGGATCATTTATGATTACTACTTCATTAAGCTTAGGAGAGTTTGCACACTGAAGGAAGACTGAATGGTCTTTTTAAACTCTTTCTTTAAAATAATCGTTAATTTACTAAATAAGTTTTGACACCTTAGGTAGCCCTGACTGTAAAGACCACTAGAAAGATAGAAGAACTGCTTAATCACTGTGTCTCTATGGTAGTCCAGGTCCATTTACTTATATGGATGCAATAACTAAGTAAGATGCAAGCAGCAATGGTATGTCACTTGGTATGTCACTGAGCCGGGTACTGAGCAGCAGACCAAAAAAAAAAAAAAGTCAAATTTCTCCCATGCACTTCTGCATTTCCTTTAAAGGTGGCAATCACCTAACTCTCATACCTCTTCCATGCGTTCAATCAGCCGGTCCAGCTCACCAATTCTCTGGTCCTTTTCCTGTATGCTTGTTTCTGTAATCTGCATCTTCTTATTTGCCTCTTCAATAGCCTTCAGAAGCCGATTCGTTTCCTCCTTCAGATAAGAACATTTACAGTCACATTAACATATAATATATTAATGAGGGTTTGGGGTTTTTCTTGTGGGTTTTTTTCTTCTTTCTTTTTTTCTTTCGCCATAGGTTTTAAGCAGAGCTCAAAGCTTTTCACTACACGTGCCCAGAAGTCTGGAAGAGTTGTGACCCTAAATATGAATTGTATAGAACAAAAGATTTGGGGCACTTGAAGTGCATAGGTATTTGTAAAGCATTATTATGAAAATCTGAGAAAAACTTTTACCAGTTTCTTAGATATTTGTTTTCCCTTCTGAGGATGCCATGAAGTAACAGCATAAGAAAAATATGCTGTTGCGGAAGACAGATAGCATTTTAAACGCCAAAGTTTGCCATGTTCAGCTTTGTACTTTCCTCGCATATAAAACAATATGAATGGAAAGAGACTGGGGAGTCAACCTTCAATCTCAGTCATTATCTATCTTTATCAGTTAGAAAAATGCAATGACAAACTGGTCATAGAAAGGTTTTACTTGGGGGTGGAGGAAAACTAGGGGACAGGAAGAGTTCTTGCTCCAGTAGCATCCAGTGAAGTTGTTCCCCCTCTCCTTCTTAAACTGTTACTAAAATTGGACATTATATTTTCCTTTTTTTTTTTTTAGAGAACCAGAAGTTAAAACCCCCAACTTACTTAATTTCAAATTTTGAAATCCACATTATCATTACTGTTACTGTGCTTGAACACATTCTTTTCTCAGCCCTGCAACCCCAAAAGCTTGGAAAGCTTAGAATCTGTGACATGACTTGTCACAGATTCAGGAGTAAAGGAACACATGCGAACTCTGGAGTATTAGTGATTGAGAAACAACACCCAAGCTAAGCACCACTCTTACAAACTGGCTATACATACTAGGAGTATTTCTTTCTCAGCTTTATGTTTCTGCTCCTCTTCTCGCATTTTTTCCTCATACTGACTATACAGTTTTCTTGTCATCTCTCTCATGACTTCTGCATTGGCTTCCTGCGACGATTCCACCTATGAGAAGGGAAAGTTGACTCATCAGTCAGTACAGCACTGCTGGCAGCAGGAGAAACAGAGTTCACATGATGCGAGAATAACACTTTGAACTTCAGCTGCACCTTGTTATAAATTTGACACTGCTGAAGCAGATTTTCATTTGCATCAAGACCATGTACAACACTCTGCCAGTATACAAGTCATTTGAATTTGTAGAAGTTACTGCTTCATCAAGTTTCATGTTGTCTGAATTTAGCTAGCCATTGCTTATCCAAGACCAGGCTATGCCTCTTTACTGAGCCCTTCCATAAGAGCCTCCAAGTTCCTTGGTTTTTTTGCCCATTAAAAAGATAGTCTCCCCCCATTTTACAGAAGCATAGATTAGAGATGGTCTAGACTCAACTCCTGTTTCTAAGTGACCATGAACACTCAACGCAATAATTACTTTAAGCTGGACCTAAGTATGTGTTGTTAACTAGAAGACACAGCTGTACCCTCCCTCCTCTCTCTTGCTTTTTCACATACTGCTCTTTGTGTAAGCACAAGAACTGGAGTGACCATGGAGCATAAAAGATCAGGGAACAATCAGACTTAAAATTAATATACTCAGGGGTGTGGAAATGTTAATTTTTAACCACAGGACCAGAAACTTTACTACTGCTACAGGGAAGAGGGCAGGAACAGTAATTCAGAGACAGGATTTCCCCCTTATGTTGGCTAAGAACACTGAACCACACCTTCAGTGATTAAACACTAGATAGGATATTCACAGCTTAAACCCATCTATTCTGTAAACCGCAATAACAGCAAAGTAAAATAGCTAGTCCAGGACTTAATTCTCTTACTATAGATGGTATAAATCAGACAAGGTTATAGTGAAATGTTGAGAGTGCTACAAACATGTCAGGAAGAGGAGGAATATACTGTCATCTGGGAGAAGAATGAAGCATTCCCTGCTGATCACTACAGTTAACACAGCTACAAAATACCTGGGTCTGATGATTGAGGTTTTGGGGTTTGGGTTTTTTTTTCATTCCAAGGACTGAAAGATTTATTAAACCCTTGTGTTTAATCTTGCGTGGTGGGAACAATCTGTTTTACTACCCTGTAGGATAACAACAGTGTATTTCATCCTTTGAAAAGGGACTGAGCTCTGAAGGACTCCACTTGTACTGCAATTGCCCCCTTTGGCGTCTCACCTAGATCAACACTGGGACAGGGGTAGTAACCTGCACTTTGTAAGAGGGAGTGGAGTTAAATTAATTTTCAGTACAACACAAAACCTTCCACATTTCAGGAAGCCTGAAAGAATCATATCATTCAGAAAAAGCCAACAATCAAAACCCAGAGTCCTTAAGATACACTGAACTGGAATATGATCTCTGGCACTGTCTCTCCATCATTCCTTTGCTTACAGCTTGAGCAATGAGGAGAGTAAAAACAAGCATAAAAAGGTAGATGCAAGAGGGCATCTGTTATAGTACTCTTGAGCAACGTCTCCAACCTCAGTTATTGTTATGATTGTATGAATAAACCAAACCTACTTAATAAGCTACATGGGTGTGGTCTCCTACCCAGAAAATAATCATGGCATACGGTAGTTACTGCTTTTCCAGTGCTAACCTCCCAGATTCCACACCATCCTCTTACGTTCACCCCTGGAATTAAATCCCAGATGTCTTGGCATCTTTGATACACAATTTTACGTTTAACTTTCAAAGACAGCAATGAGGTATTTTATCCACTAACTTTGTAATAAAACTGCAACTTTGAGGGCAAAATTTAAACTTTTTCCTTGTTAAGGCAGGGCATGTATTCTGCAGACCTTGACATGCCTGAAGATAAACAAATCCTTAAGCATTCAGTTAAACTAGGACTTAACCTGTGGTTCTCTGCCCTTAGAAGCAGACATACCTTTCCCTGACTTGTTGGTGCATGTCCTTAAGATTATAGTAAAGTCCAAATTTCTGTTTTGAAATCTGAATTGCATCAGTTTTCTTCTTATTTTTTCCCTCTTTTTATTTCCTGATGACAACAGCAGGTACAAAATACAGCTACTTTTATAGCCTGTAAAGCTTCACTATGAGAGGAAACTAGAACATTAATTGTAAGTTAAAATACACTTATGTTAATGTTTTCTCTTTTAACCATTCATCATTAAGCCTGAATGCAAGTCACTACAGACCCAAAAAGAAACATCATCTCTAACAAAATTAAACATGAATAAACCAGCAGTCACCTTAATTTCACAGTGACAAATTCTGATACAGTACTACATCCAAACTAGTCTATTTTAAGCAATTTTGAGAGACAAACGTTTCCAGAAAAGGTTTTTCTGGTTGATTTTTTTTTTTAAATGAGATTAAAGGAATACATTTGGCAGATGAGAGGGGGAAACGGTCAAGGTTTCTGGCATATAAAACCTTCCAGTTTGCATTTTATTCCCTTGCATTTGTCTGAAAGAAATAGCTTAACTGTCTTTCCAAGACACTTGCTGTTACAGCACGTATCTGCTGACCATACGCTCATAAGACTTAACAGATTACCTATTAAAAATTGTGCAATACCAAATAAACAAATTCAACATCAAGAAATTCTTATAGCACTGTGTAGAGTTATAATATTCCTTTACTTACAGCAATGGACACTAATAACCATTTAATGGTTTGAATTTTCACCTGCCAACATCCCTGAATGGTAATCCCGTGTTATGGAAAGACTGACTGCTGCCAGCTGAGATTCTTTGTTATTAAAACAGTATTGAGTCACAGGAATATGTCAGCTCTAGGGAATGATGAAGGCAAGAAGAATGAAGAACCCTTTACAAATAAGGCCAAGGAATTAATTTAACATACTCCTAATGCCCTTACTGTGCAATATTTTTAGGGGACTTTATATACTGCACCTTTAATTTCAGTAACTGATTTTCAATTTGTGCTGTTTCCAGTTGCTTTTGCTTCTCTCTCAGCTTTTCCATAGATTGCTCATGTGTATGTTTTAAATTCCTTATTTGTTCCCTTATATCACTGTTCTCCAATGTAACATCCACTAGAGTTTTCTAGAAGAAAGAGGCAAACCACATATTAAAAATCACAAATAATTTGGTGAACTAATATAGTCAAGAGATTATGGAACAGACAGAACATTTAAGAGTTTCCTGATGTGCCAATGCAGTGTGAACGGTTTTGCAAGTTTTAACATTTAAAATTATGGCTTTTGTTGTATTTAGTTTGCTAGAAGATATTTCCATGAGGAACATGCTCAGTGAAATCAAGTCCTGGAACACTATAAAAAAAAGAAAGGAACATGGATACATTTCAATATAAATGCTACACCCAACAATCTTCCTTTCTTCTCTCCAAGGGCCATCCTATACATATTAAATCCACTAGACTGAGAAAAACTGTGACATACAAGAAAGCAGGAACATTAAGCTATTCAGCTCAGATACGTGGGAATTTGGAAGTCTTTAAAACAGAAAATTCATTCCCACCTTCTCCCTCCCCCTGCATTTCACAAGTATGTAAAGTCACACAAGTGTTTAGCATCCAAACATGCCACTTCTATTTCTGTGAACCAGTGAAGGTAGGTATAAGTCAGGAGATGTACCGTTTTGCACAATACAGAACAAATCACATTTTCACCTTAGATATTTCATAGAGACATGACTAGTGGCATTAGTCTGCTGCAGATCAGTATCTCTTTATTGCACACTTTTTTTTTTTAACCGATTTTTTAAAAACACAGGTGTTGGAATTTTTTTTTCTTAGTTTCCTAAATTGGCTGCCTTAGATATCCAAGGCAGTACTTTATGGGCTTGTTTAGTGTTAGAATCTATATTTGTCATCCATGTTTTACGTAGGCTTTAAAATCCATGTCAGGAAAGGCAGTTGTCAGCTGTGAAACAGCTATTAAAATGTACCTGCAAGTCTATTGATGCTGATGTCAAGGAGCTGTTCATTTCGCTAAAGCTATCTAAGGCTGCAGCCTGCACTCGCACATGATTCTCTAAGGATTCCTGATGAGCATTTGTCACCTGAGCAGAAAAAAAAAAAAAGTTTTATATAGAATAATGATCAAGTTTACCTATTCTTTCAAAGGGAGCTACAGAAGAGAAAGACCCATGGTTAATTTTCACAGTATTAGGATGCTTAAAATATACAGGCCTCAAACCATATTCTTGCAGCTCAGAAACAAACTTAGAATCCAAATACGCTAACAGAAATAAGGCACAAGTATCTATGTTTATTGCTAGTCTGTAATCACTGTAAAAGCTGTTCTTTTTGAAAGGACAGGAGGACACTTGGCAGATGTCTGTTCAGAAAGTTTATATACATAGAGTGGGCAGACTGTAAAAAGTCACAGAGTGAAAAGCAGAAGAATGCAAGAAATGAGGAAATCTAGAAAGATTTGGGTGAACTGTAGAATAGCCTTAATTAAGAAGGAACTGACTAATCAGGTATGTAAAGAAGCAACATCAAGAAGACTTAAGGATGAAACAATACAAAGCAGGTAGGAGAAGACAGCACAGAGCTTTGTTGCGTGAAAATTTGTCATCTTCTGTTATGTACACACATGCTTAAAAACTGGAGGGGAAAAAAAAAAAAGGCACAAAATGACACCATTTAAGAAGAGACCAAAACCCAAAACAGTATAAATTATTATGAACCATCCAACAATAAAGAGAAAAAAAATGTTACTAATGGAGGCCAGCCCAACTCACATTCTTAGACGGACCAGATTTGTTTCTTGATAAAAATGTAAGAACACTAGGGACTGATATGGGGAACAATTAGTGTTTAGTAACCAAGTCATACACAGATTAGGTCAGCACAGGGAGTAGAAGCCAAGTAGTTACTGTTAACCCTACATAAAGGTGTGCTTATGTAAAAACAAACAAACAAAACAAAAGCAGAAATGCTTTGGATGGATTAAGAAAGTTACAAGATAAGAACTTGTGTGAAGAAGCATACTGCCCAGGGCAGGATATTGGCAGTACAAACGTCAAACAAACTTTATGAACAAAAAGTAGTCCTGGAAATTGATGGGAAAAAAGCATAGTGATTCAAAGCTGAAGCAAAGAGTATATAAAGGATTTTAAACAGGATCCCCGAATAGCATGAAAGATGACAGTCATGTAAAACCAAACCCAAAAACCAACCAACCAAACAAAAAAGCATATATAGAACAACAATTGTGCTTTCTTTCAGGCACTCTAAACTATTACAAAAGGGGGGAAGGTGTCTCATAATGTGCCACTTATGTCAGAAGGAGTGCTTCATAAACTGCTACTTTGCTTCAGAACTAGAGATTTTGTCAGAGCTGGTCAGAAAACCTTAAGAGAGATGGTTCAGACTCATGCAGGATTTCTACTGGTCTGACAGAAGATCTGGAAGTGCAGAATATCACCACTGCTATTCAGTAAGTATCAGCATCAAAGATTATAAAACTGCATCTGAATCAGCATTTGCCTACATGCATACTGGGTGGGGGACTCACCTTGTTGACATCATTAAGACTGTTTAGCAGAGTTTACAGAAATTCAGTTTTCTCTCTCTCCTCCTCTCAAGTCAGGGCGTTTGTTTTGTTGTTTTGGTTTTTTTTGGGGGGGTTGTTGTTCTTTTTTGGTTTTTTGTTATTTTTTGAGACTAGTTGCTGCAGAATAGAAGCGCCAATTTAACAGCAAGTTCTGATCTTTATACATAATACAACATGCAGGGAACCGACAGTCACCAAGTGAGGATGGCAGAAGGGCACAAGTCAGGGTCCCAGTCCCTTGAAGTCAGAATACATTTAATTGCCAAAGCTTCATCTGAAGCAGGGCTGTGAAAATCAATGTTGATTATAAAATCCACAGCAAGTTTTCAGGGAGGTTTTTTGGACCAAAGAACTCAGCAGTTTAATATGAAGGATACTTCTACAGATTGCAGCAGCTTTTATTGCTAAAGCAGCATGTCAGAAGGAAGAGAGGTCATTGAATGACCATTGAAAGGTTCAATTAAGAACTAAAAGGCAAGTCATTTTTAGAAGTCATGCACTTTAATACTGAAGAATATTGCTACTTCTTTTACTATAGTGTTTAAACAATACAGTCAGTAAAACAGAGCAAAGTCTGTTGCATGTTACTCCTAATTATGCAAGTTATTTATTCAATTCATGTGGCAGCTTACTGGTACAAACATCCCCATTAATTACCAATACACACAGACGATGCTATCAAGATCATTCTTTTATTTCCAAGAAGCAGGCAATTAGTAATTCCGTATGCAAAAGCACCCCTGTCCTACTTTTAGGGAAAAATAAATAAATAAATAAATAAAAGTATAGATGTCACATAAAACAATGAATGAGTGGTTTGAGAAATTATTTCTGTTCTGCTGAAGCACAAAAAAAAAAAGTTTCTAG